TAGAAATATGATTAATTCTGTTAATATATTTTGAAATATTGAAGGTAGTATAGTTGACTTTGAAATCTGATTGATGAAAGCGAAAAAGAATAAGTCTAAATAGAAAACAACATAGATAAATTTTATTGTTTTATAAATGAAAAATCTGTAGACAACATCAATAAAAATGTTTTTCTGTCATTTATTGATCGATTGAAGATAATATCATTCTCAATTAACAATTCCTGTTAAAATATTCATTTTGATCAATTGCTCGACGTTGGATAGTATTTTGAATTGGTTCAACAGTATTATGTTTATGACATGGGCTAAGTCTTAATATATTTTTGATTTTGTTTTTAAGATTAGGTAATGTTCCAGCACAAACAAATGGAAGTAGAAAATGGATGTAATAAGAAAAAAATTGTCCATAAGCCACAAAATTTTCCGTGTAACTCCATGGAACACCACAATTAGAGAGAATTCCTGTTATAACATTTGGCAAATAGAATATATAAAATAATAATATAATTGATATTAGTTGAATAACCATTTTACGATGTTTACGCCATTTAACTTGTTGATTTACACGGTGCTTTTGTATTATTAGACGAATAATAAGACTCAAACTAAATATAGCAATTATAATTCCATTTGTTATTCCACCAGTCATAAATTCAAACATAGAATATCCTCTACTATCATAAGCACAACTATAAAATCCACAAAAAATTTTTGTAGAATAATATGGATGATTACAAGAAAGAAAGAAATTAATAATTATATATAGAATAAATCCATAGATAACAATAATACTTATAGGCATATAATGTAAAAGTATTTTTTTCTTTTTTGTAGACATCCAATTGTCATTATATATTAGAATATATCTTTCAATTGAAGTCCATGCAACAAGTCTTGCTATTGTTACATATGTTGAACCATCGATAAATTTCCAAAATTGACAAAATAATGGTGAAAATATCCAAACAACACCATTTTTATAATAATACAATATCCATGGAATATCTGTTATCTCAGTTATTAAATTTATAATAAGAAGAACAATAATAACATGATTATGTAAACTTCGACGAAGTTTTCGATTAAACAGAAAATAATAGAGTACAAATATAGAACAAATAATTGATGCTAAATTTGATATTAAATAAATCCAAAAACGTTCAATAAATGATATTGATATATCTACCATTATTCTTCACTTGATCATTTCATATTATTAACTAGAAATTCAAACAAGATTATAACAACAAAAACTTCAGGAAAACTCTTTTGAAAGATTCTGTTTGGGTTGATTTAGGTCGTAAAACCCACATTCGTTAATCTCGAAACTCAAATAATGTACAGAATGAGCCAAAAGTAACAGGACGAATAATTTTTTCGATATTTTTCTTTGTAGATATTCAGTTAGATTTAATATTTTTAGCACATATACTAGCTGATAGAATCCAAAGCATCTTTGAATTCTATCACGTAGTACACTCTAAAAAAACTACTACGGAACTTGAAAAGACTCTTCCTGCGAGTACACCGGAAGGACCTTTTTAAGTTTTGTAACAGAAATTTGTTTTTAGAGTGTATATGCGGTAGAAATATGAAATCTATTTGTCCTGTTAGTTTTGGCTCACTCTGTATGTCAAACTACAAATGTTTTGTAGCTGATAAATTGTTAGTCTATGAAAATTCTATATCGAGACTTGTCATCTACAATTGATCACAGTATATGAGGGCGGCAAAAAAACACTGACAATATTCAATAACTCTCACTAATGTAATGGGATATATCGAAATTCCGATTTTGAATTAAATACTACTAATCCATCTCATTTCATCTTAATCAAACTTGAATTCGAGATCTTACCAATTGATAATTGTATGCTTAATGCTGCAAATATATAAGAGAAAGAAGGATGATTGTTAAGCAATGAAATTAGCTGTCTCTCTAAATTGAGTTCATCATTTTTTTTCAATAGTTACCTCGGATGTCACAAGTCAATTGCTGTTCGGTTTAGATAGTTAGGACTTATTCTGGTTACATGCGGTTGATTCAAAAGTCGATATTATCTTTCTTTTATAAGTTCATATTATAGAATATTTTTATGAAAAGTTTTTCTCTCATTTTTAACTCTTTTGATACAAGTTATATATGAAATGAAAGCACTTTGTATCCTCTACTGTATGTCATATATAATTATGAAAAAAATATAATTCCTTTCTCTTTTTCTTTAGATGATGTTGTTCCTCTTCATATATAAAGTATGAAAATAGTCATGAAAAAACTCTTCTCTTTTTTATATACAACAGAAACGAACAACTTAGGATTATATATCACTCGAGAGGCTTTTCTCAAAGTTTGTCAAAATAATACTATTCTCTTATGCTTAATTTATGAGCAAGACTTTTTAGTCAAAAGCATAATGATTGTAAGAGTGAAAAGTTGCATTTTTTTTTTTGACTAATATTTCATCACTTTTTGTCAGAATAATCAGACTTCCTAATATAATAGATCATCTTTTTGGAATAATCATACTACCATTATGCGTTTGATTAAAACATCTTATTCATAAATTAAGCATAATGCAATAGCGTCATTTTCAAGAGCTTTGAAAAAAGTCTCTTGCCTGATATATAATTCTAAATTGTTCACTTCTGTTGGATATAAAAAAGAGAAGAGTTTTTTCACGACTATTCTCATAATTAATATATGAAAGGAAAAAGCATCATCTAAAGAAAAAGAGAAATGAATTATGTTTTTATCATAGTTATATATGACATGCAATAGAAGATACAAAGTACTTTCATTTCATATATAACTTGTATCAAAAGAGTTAAAGATGAGAGAAAAACTTTTCATAAAAACATTCTATAATATGAACTTATAAGAGAAAGATAATATCGACTTTTGAGTCGACCGTATGCAGCCAGAATGAGGTCTAATTGTCTAAATCGAACGGCAATTGATTTGTGACATCCGAGTTGGCTATTGAAAAAAATGATAAACTCAATTTCGAGAGACGGACTAATCCCATTGTTGAACAACTACCCTTCTTTCAATCTTCACAAAATTGTAATTTGTTATAATAATCGTAGGGTTGGAAAGCTGCTGTTTAAATATGACAGTGGTGTTCACATGAGATACAATATAATTGAATAATAAAATATGAAAAGCTGTCATTTTGATAAAGATGAAAGAGAAAAGAGAATTATGTAGGCTCATGCACATAATAAAGTGGTCTAGATT